TGTCTATCCCTGACGAGGCACCTAAACGAGTTGTTACGGAGACGGGTGTCTAGACTGCCATAAGCACGCAAATGTGTTGCGTCTCTGAATACCTTCAACTGGGTAGTGGAATTGTTGTCAATATGCGGGGCTGGGGTAAAATCCTGGCGACGTTACGGGGCTCAGCCCCCTGGTGCTGCTTGTCCGTTTCTTCATTTCTCCCTTCCCCCCCACCCCCCCCATTCCAACCCCCACAGGGCGGGCGATATGATGAGGGATTACGACGGGGCGTATCTGCAGATGCGTCTGGGCTTCAGCCCACTGGCGCCGATAGTCATTTTCCTTCATCCCCCCCATACCACCCTTCCTTATCCCCTTCCTTCCCTCAGGGCGGGCGACATGATGAGAGGCTACGATGGGGCTTACCTGCAGATGCGCCTGGGGCTCGGCTCGTGCGTGTGTTCTTCTGTCCAATACCTCATCACCCCTTGTCTTCCCCCCCCACACGCACTCAGGGCGGGCGACATGATGAGAGACTACGACGGGGCGTATCTGCAGATACACCTGGGCTTCCGTACAGCTTATTGTCCACTCAAGAGCTACACTGGTTCGCCTTCCCCCCAACCCCCCTCCCTTCCACCCCCCCCCCTCCCCCCCCCGCCCCTTTCCCACAGGGCGGGCGACATGATGAGGGATTACGACGGGGCGTATCTGCAGATGCGCCTGGGCTTCAGCCCACTGGCGCCGCTTGTCCTTTTCCTCGTGCGCTGGACGGATTGCAGTTTGGCGGGGGCGCTGGGGTTGCTGAGAGTGCTGGTGTTCAAGGTGCACAAGAGCGGCCGCACCACTGCTGCTCGGCATGAAAGAAAAGCGTCTCTTAGCGAGTTTTATGGTAAGTTGTAACGAGGATGAAGGTTTGATTAGAGTGCTGGTGTTCAAGGTGCATGAGAGCGGACGCACCACGCTGCCAGACACGAAAGGCAGGCGTCTCTTAGCGAGTTTTACGGTGAGTGCAGCTTACAACGAGGATAAAGTGGCTACTGAGAGTGCTGGTGGTTTAGGTGCATGAAAGCGGATACACCACTGCTGCCAGACACGAGAGGAGGCGTTTCTTAATGATATTTGTTATCCTCCCCATTATCACCCTATTTCAGGTTTTCTGTACCCTTCACTGTTACAACTGTATCCCGGCATATCGGATGTGGAGCAAGCCATTCAACATGATTTCTTATCCTCCCTATTATCCTCTCCGCCCTTGTATCTGCTGCAGGTTTCCTGTACCCTTCATTGCTACAGCTGTATCCCGGCATATCAGAAGTGGAGCACGCGAAGCAGCAGAGGCGGTGCGATGAGCATTACCTGTGGCCGAGAATGGACGCAGCAGGTGGGCGGGCACTTGATATTGTTTGTCTCTTTGTTACCTGTGGCTGAGAATGGAGGCAGCAGGTAGTCAGGCAATTGTTAAGGCTATTGGTAATGGCAATTGAGAGGGTGTCCTTTAAGAGTTCGTTTAAACACTCGGTGGGCACTTTAGGTTACCTGTCACTATGGGAAACGGGACAGGAACGGACTTGCAAGGCAAGGGTATTGGTATGATCCAATTGAAAGTAGTTTTAACGCACACAGTAATTATTTTGGTTGTTTTTTTCCCTTCTTGCAGGTCAATCCAGACCACCCCCCTCCGCCACTGCTTCCCCCATCTCCTCCTCATCCTCCTGGCCCTCCCCTGCCTCCTCCTCCTCCTGCTCGTCTTATAACGAGGATGAGGAGATAGAGCTGCTGACAGGGATGGAGAGGGAGAAGGAGAGGGAGAGGGAGCGGGAGTGCGGGATCTGCCTCGAGGAGGTTCGATTTGACGGCTGTGATCGCGTCGCGATTCCCAGCTGTGCTCACTCCATGTGCTCCCGATGCTTTAAGGACTGGTGAGCCCTTCTCCTCCTCCTCCTCCTCCTCCTCCTCCTCCTCCTCCTCCTCCTCCTCCTCCTCCTCCTCCTCCTCCTCCCATTCCTCCGTTCACTCCCCATGGTGCAACTCCCAGCTGTGCCCACTCCATGTGCTCCCGTCCCGATGCTTTAAGGACTGGTGAGCCCTCCTCTCTCTCCAATCCGCCTTTTTTTATCTCACCCAACTCTGTTCCTTACTAACGCTCATCATTTCGCCCCTCTTTCCCCCCCTCAGTATCTAGTACGAACCCTTCCCCACTACACTTCACTCCACCCCGCCTCACCCCATCCACTTCACTCCATCCCATCCTACCCCACTCAACCCCACCCCACCCTATTCGTCTCCAGGATCTCTCGCTCTCGCTCCTGCTCGTTCTGTCGGGACGACTTTGAAGTGCAAGAGAGCGACCTGTGGGTGATGGTGGGGGGAGGGAGAGGAGGCAAATCGCATTCGAAAGACCACTCGCCTCTCAAAACCCATTTTCACCTCACTCAACCCCATCCCACCCAATTTTCTTCCCCAGGAGCTCTCGCTCTCGCTCCTGCCCGTTTTGCCGGGACGACTTGGGGAAAGTGCAAGAGAGCGACCTGTGGGTGATGGTGGGAGCAGAGGAAGCGGAGGACATGAGAAAGATTGCTCGGGACAACCTCCGAAGAATCTTCCTTTTCGTGCACCGGTTACCAGTTCTGGTTACCAGCGACGCGCTGCTGCCTCCTTTAGACCTTGACTATTACTCTCTGCTGTAGTAAACTGGTGGGCGCAGAGGAAGCGGAGGACATGAGAAAGATCACTCGGGACAACCTCCAGCGAATCTTCCTTTTCGTGCACCGGTTACCAGTCGTGGTTACCAGCGACGCGCTGCTGCCTCCCCTTGATCTGGATTACTACTCGCTGCTGTAACGACCCCGAGTCATGACATCCCACTGTGTAAATAGGTCCTCAGTATTTCAGTGGAGGAAAATCAGGGGCTGCTGCTGCTGCCGCTGCCGCTGCTGCTGCCGCTGCCACCGCTGCTGCAGCTTCTTGCACTGTTAGCCCATATCTGCTGCAGCTTCTTGCACTGTTAGCCCATATCTGCTGCTGCCACAGCCCACCAGCAAGTCTTGACAGCTGAAACTTCTCCAGAGTGCTCCAGAGTTACTGCTGCTGTAGCTGCCTTATCCAATCCCAGAGGCAACCGCTTTCAGGAATTTTCCGAGGGCCTGCTTCCAGGCGCGGGGCACGAAGCGCGGCAAACAGCTGGAAGGAGGCCCTTCGGTTGGAGTGGAGGAGGCGAACCGTACTCGTCAGAAGCAGCCGGAAGAGCTGGAATGGAAGGGCTGCCTTGGTCAAATGGAGGTGGTTGGAGAAAGGGGATTCCCATTATCACCATCCCACAGATTCGTAGTGTAGAGTACGTCTCTGAACTTCCAGCAGCCTGCTGCAAGCTCTAGCTAATAGAGATCGAATGGGTGATGGTAGGTACTGTGGTAGGGTGCTGGACCAGCAATGATGGTCCCTGGGTTGCTGCTGGGGCACTATGCCTGGTGAAAGCAGTCTCTCTGGAGCATGCAGGCGTGGCATATAGGCTGTGCTGCTGTATTGGCAGCTAGAGTGATCTGGGTCCTGAAACCGTAGGTAGTGTGCCTTCCTGGGTGGGAAGTGGCGGATGGGGGCTGCCCTAGACTGGGGAACTGAAATGGGGTAATTACCCCATTTAGTTGTACAGTTAGCCAAACAACTTTTGTCTCTTCACCCTCGTACCATTACCTCCTTTTCTCGTGTACTTTTGTCTCTTCACCCTCGTACCATTACCTCCTTTTCTCGTGTATTCTACCGTATTCTTCATTTCACTACTTTGACAATCACGGTTAATGAGAGTGCCTGCAGTAGTGTACATGTGTTGCGGCATCCAAGGGATGGACTGTACACTATTACCGCTCTAACCTCCATTATGAGTTATGTGGCTGTTGTTATGACCATTAGAGCGGATCCCCAAGCACCAATGGCACTAGAAGAAGCAGCAGCAGCATCACATCTCAGGGAATGACCTTTCGGAATGATCAGGTACAGGGCCTCATATTCGTTTTGGCCTAGGCTGAATCGTCAGCCTTAGGAGTGAGCTGAAGGCTGATCAATCAGGGTAGCCTTGAAAAAAAAAGCTGAAATTTCAGTGTTTAGTTTAGATAAATGGCTGATCATTCAGCCTTGCTTAAAAAGAAAGGCTGAACATTACTTCAAGCTTTCCTAAAGCGCAACACAGTCATTCAATTTCAAAGTGTGGCATTGAGAAAAGGGCACACGACGTGCTTCCAACAGTGCACACGACGTGCCTACAACTTCATAGTAGGTTCCGTAACCTTTCTTTGGGAATCCTTCCAACTGTTCAATCAGAGTCACTAAATAAAAAAGGCTGAACTTTCTTTAGAGTGTCCTACCTACAACAGCAAGCGTTCTACAAGTTTAGCATTGAGAGAAGAACGGTACGGTGCAGGAACTACATACGGTAAGCAATATCCTCGTCAACATCATATTCTTCATCCTCATCATCGTCACTATCACTAGATAAGTCGAGAGCATCTACAGGCTTGGGGTGTTCTACTTCCATGGCTGCAACTTTCCCCTTCTTGCTGGGTTCTCCTGGGGTGGAAATGGGGGAGTTTGAAAACGGCTTCCTCTTCTTGTAGCTTCTCCAGATGCCCACCACCTCGTCAAACACCGGCTCGTACGGCATCAGAGACAAGCACATCAAGTCACCCAGTCTTGCATCCTTCAGCCCACCTCGAAGCCACGACTTGATGACGTTTTGGCGCGAGAAGCCCCTTTCGCACTCAGCAGTGCTAAGGGGAATCACCGCAACCGCCACCCACAGCTGCACGAGGTTGGGGTAGCTCTCGCGCCAGTCTGGAGTCTTCAGGATCGCGGTGAGGCCCTCGTGGAACGTCCTCTCCCCCTGTGGTGCAGCAGCAAGGACAGAGCAGAATAGCCGAAGCTCCTTCTGTGCCATTCGCTTGTTAATTCCTGAAAGGCGTAACAGTGGGTTTCGGAAGGGGCAAACAAGGCAGCACGAGTTAGTAGGCTGAGTGTGAACCGTGGCACTAGGGAATGGGCAAACGGCAGTTACCAGAGGTAGAGCAACCGGGATGAACGATGGTTACTTTACCTGGCAGAATCTCCTCCGAATCTTGAGCCTTGAACAGCGTCACCAGCGACAGCAACCACTCCACACATCGTGCATGTCGCTCCGGCTTGCCCTTCGGCCACTCATCAGGCATGAACAGCCTGACACCAGACAGCGAGTCCAGGTCACCCAGCCTCCTCTCCAGGTTCGCCACGATGCGTTCAGCAAAGTCGGCGCAGAGGTCAATGCATCCGTCGTGATCCTCAGGGCCGTCATACCCGTCCACGGGGTTGTCGTGGAGCGTGAAGGTGATTTTCTCGGGTCGGCCATCGGAGTCGACTCCCTCCATAGTCACGTCGCGCTTCTTTCCAGGACCGTAGCGCTCAATAAAGGGAGAGAGCCAGCGGCTCGAGCCACTGCCGAAGTCGTCCCCACAGTCGACGTATCGACTCTCCATGTGTGAGGTCGTGCGCTTGATCTGAGCATTAAGAGAGATGAGATCCAACTGCCAACGGGAAAAAGGGGAGGAACACAATGTTAGTATGGTAGCTTCCGCGACAGTGTAAAACATATTCAATCAAACTGAATTACCTGTCGTTGCTGGAAGGACTTGTTCAAGAGGTTCAGCTGCTCAAGAACATCAGCCAAAAAGTACATGAAAAAGTGAAACCTGTACGAGGTGGCAAGCAGATACATAGCGGAATGGTACTCCTTGAGGAAAATCACAATTACAGGCCATACGGCAAGGATGCGAAGTATGGCTTCACCCCGAGACAGCCACCGAACTTGGTGTATGCCCTGGACTTCCAGGCTTGTCTCTGTGAAGAGCTGCTGGAGGTCCATGAACCGTTGGTGCTTCGGGGCAGAGCGTCCCAGAAGGTCAGCCGTCACGCGGACGAGGTCGTCGACCATGTCGAAGACTGGTAGATCTTCGGCCGCCTCCTTAGCGGCAAGCGCCTCCCTGCGATGAAATTTAATGGTTGTATTAGAACTATGAACAAACAATAAAGACAGACCGGGAAAGATGCAACAACACCCGCACCTGTGGGCGATGCAGTGACACGAGACGAGGTGTGGGACCCTCTCTCGTAGGCGAACCACCAGTCCAGCTCGACTCCCCATCATCACCCCAGCACCGTCGGTGCTGATGCCCGAAATCCTCTGCACCTCGACACCAACTGCCTGCAAGTGAGAGAGCAGCAGACTCAACAGGGTGGATGCGTCAGCTTTCTCAACAGTGATCAGTTGCATAAACTCCGACACGAGTTTGTTGTCGCGGATGAACGTGGCGTACACTATCATGTGCTTGCCCCTGCAGCGATCGGTGCTTTCGTCGAGGCTGATGCCAATGAACGGGCTTCGGAGGATGTGCTCCAGTTGAGTCGTTTGCAGCCAGGTTGCCATTGATTGCACGAGTTCGCCATAGCCGTACCTGCCATTCAAAAACAGCGTAGTATTAGCGAAACCGAGAATTCAATGTTACGAGGACATATGTAATAAATACTCACGTGGTGTAGTAGGTCCCGTAACCTTTCTTCGGGAATCCTTGAACCCCCTTCTGCGCCATATACTGCACCAACTTCACCCATGTCCCCATGGGTGCATCGCACCGGCTGACGAACAAAAGCACGTCCAGCAGTGATACAACACGGATCTTCTCAGCGTCGACGACCGCACGATGCTCGTTGATGCGAGGCTGCGAAGTCGCGGCAGCAAGCAGGGTCTCCTGCTTCTCCAATGCCAGCTTGTGCTTCCGCGTCCCGGCGTGCTTGCGAAACGCTTGGGTCTGGACGTCGGTCGCACCTTTGCCGGTCCTGCCACATTGTCCCCTGGGCGACAGCAGTGCAAGGTAAGTGCGAGAATGATGCCACTTCCTAGTGCGTTGGCGGGGAATCTTGACATCTCGCCGTGATTGACGGGGGGTCGGTCCTTCCGGTGTACCTAGACAGCCGTAATTCAGGGCACCCACGCGAATCCCCTTTAAAGCGATTTCAGCCCACCCCCTCGAGCCAACTCTGATCACTCAGTGTGTAATACCGAAAAAAAACTGAAAATTCAGCGATACATTAAAAAAAAAAACTGAAATTTCAGCCCACACCTAAAAAAAAAAGCTGCCAAATCAGCCCCACTAAATCCCCAGCACTGAAAACCTAACCTTTCTACCCCTAATCAGCCTTTTTTTGCTGACTTCTGAGGCCCTGATCAGGTAACACATAACACTTTTCCGGTTTTCAAATTCCGTTGGATCCGATTCACTCATGATTTTTTATTTTGTATGAAGCAATATAAGGTGGGTGTACAAATAACGGATTGGCCGTGCTTCGAGCAGTGCTAGGTCGACAAATGGTTGCTCTTTGTCAGTGTTCGATGAGTGAGGGAGTTTCTGGAAACTAGCGTGACCAATCATGTTGTCAGATCCACGAGCTCAAGAAAGCAACGGTCCAATTTGTCCAAAACATGGCCCTGTTCGCCAGCACAAGTATCGGCATAAGTCCCTACGTGTACATACTTTGTATTCTTTGCCTACGAATAATTACAGATGAGTCAAATCTCTAGCACCACCAACAGCACCAGCACCACTAGCAGTCGAGCACCAGCACCAGCAGAAGCAGCACCAACAGTACCAGCAGCACCAGCATTGTCACGTTGCATCGCATGGCCTTCAATGACCATCAGGTGAAACAACATGTCACAGGTGTCCGGAGCACCCCTGATCATGGGCTATTTGAGTTCTGGTATAGCCCCCACTACCATCCCCTACAGTACCACTGACAGCATCACATCTCATCAATGACCTTGGACTGTTATCAGGTGAAACAACATGTCACAAGTGTCCGGAGTACCCTCGCTCATGGGCTCTTTGATTTCTAGTTTAGCCCCCACTACCATCCCCTACAGCACCACTGACAGCATCACATCTTGTCAATGACCTACTGTCATCAGGTGAAACAACATGTCACAAGTGTTCGGAGTACCCCCGATCATGGGCTCTTTGAGTTCTAGTATAGCCCCCATTACCATCCCCTACAGCACCACTGACAGAATCACATCTCATCAATGACCTTGGACTGTCATCAGGTGAAACAACATGTCACAAGTGGCCGGAGTACCCTCGCTCATGGGCTCTCTGAGTTCTAGTAAAGCCCCCACTACCATCCCCTACAGCACCACTAAAAGCATCACATCTCATCAATGACCTTGGACTGTCATTGGGTGAAACAACATGTCACAGGTGTTCGGAGTACCCCCGATCATGGGCTCTTTGAGTTCTAGTATAGCCCCCACTACCATCCCCTACAGCACCACTGACAGCATCACATCTCATCAATGACCTTGGACAGTCATCAGGTGAAACAACATGTCACAAGTGTCCGGAGTACCCTCGCTCATGGGCTCTCTGAGTTCTAGTATAGCCCCCACTGCCATCCCCTACAGCACCATTGACAGCATCGCATCTCATCAATGACCTTGGACTGTCATCAGGTGAAACAACATGTCACAGGTGTCCGGAGTACCCCCGATCATGGGCTCTTTGAGTTCTAGTATAGCCCCCAATACCATCCCCTACAGCTGTCAAAATGTTATAGTGCTTACATTGTGTAGGCTGTAGTGGGGTAGCCCATAAGGGGTACAACCCAATTAGGGTTAGTACTTGTACCCAACTTCTGTTCAATGCATTCATTCTCATTCCATAGTTTGACATGGATTCAGAGCAGGTCCTTCCCTAGGACCAGATTTTTTTAGGGCCCACCACAGAGCTGCCCCACTAGCTGTCCTGCCGCCCTGCCCTAACGGCGCGCCGCCCTGCTGGCCGCTGTGCCGCCCTTAGCAGCCCACGTGCCGCCCTTTGCAGCCCGTCGCGCCGCCCTTAGCAGGCCGCGAGCCACCCCTGCAGCCAGCACGCCTCCCCTGCAGCCTGCTCGCCGCCCCTGCAGCCCGCTCGCCACTCGCTTGCGGCCCGCCCGCCGCCCTAGAAGCCCGCTCGCCACCCGCTTGAGGCCCCCTCACCGCCCCTGCAGCCCGCTCGCTGCTTGCCTGCGGCCCGCTCGCCACCCCTGCAGCCCGCTCGCCGCCCGCTTGCGACCCGCTCGCCGCCCGCTTGCGGCCCGCTCGCCGCCCCTTGCAGCCCGCGAGCTGCCCTCTTGCAGCCTGCGCGCCGCCCCTTGCAGCCCGCTCGCCGCCCCTTGCGGCCCGCTCGCCGCCCCTTGCAGCCCGCCCGCCGCCTTCTGGCAGCCCGCTAGCTGCCCCTTGCAGCCCGCTCGCCGCCCTCTGGCAGCCCGCTCGCCGCCCCCTTGCAGCCCGCATGCCCGCCCTGCTGCTTGCGCCGCCCGGCAGCTGCACGCCCTGCTGCTTGCGCCGCCCGGCTACTGCCCGCCCTACTGTGCGCTGCCCTGCTGGCCGCCCTAGCCGTGCGCCGCCCTGCCCTGCCATGCGCGCTCCCCTAGTGCTCGTGCGCCGCCCTGCCTGCGTGCTGCTCTGCTGGTCGCGCGCCACCCTGCTCTGCCTTCTATGGCTTCTCTCAGTGTACTCACCTTCGATCATGAGGGCCGTCTGATCCATACGTGGCTCGACGACTTACAGCTGTACCTACTGAGCGATTCTAGAGACATCGTTTCGTTGTTTGACCACACGTCTGGAGCCTCTCTCGCCCCTCCCGCCACAGCCAACAGTGCGACTCGCTCACATTGGCTTACCCGTGCTGCTGCTGCTCGCTTTGCCGTTCGCAACCACCTGCCGTTAGCCGAACACACTCACTTTGGCCAGCACAAGACTGCTAAAGCACTGTGCGACGCTGTAGTCGCTCGTTACTCCTCCCCTACCACTGCTGCTCTAGGCCGTTTTATACCGCCCTACCTGTTTCCCGAGCTGTCAACCTTTGCCACAGTAGAGGACCTCGTTTCCCACCTTCGCACTAGCGACGCCCGCTACCGTGCTGCCTTCCCAGCAGAGTTCCTTCACAGGAACCTGCCCCCGATGTACATCACTCTCTACTTCATAGTCACCTGCCTCCGTGACTCTCTTCGCGCTATCAGGGACCACTTTCTCGCACTTGACCCCACTTACCTCACTGTCGACCTGCTCGAGCAGCACCTCCTTGCAGCTGAGACTAGCATAGTCGCTGTAGGTGCTGCTCGTGGCACTCCTCGCACACCCTTCTTTGAGGGGTGTTCCTCCCCCCCCCTTGCCCCCTCCTATGCTTCTGCTGCTGCTGTTGACATCCTTGGTGCTGAGGATGTCGGGGCTGCTTCTACTCTTAGTGGGAAGCGCCGCAGCAGCAAGGGCAAGGGTGGCAAGAGTGGTGGCGGTGGCAGCGGGGGTGGTGGTGGTGGCGGCAGTGGAGGGGGTGGAGGTAGCGGAGGTGGTGGCAGCGGTGGGAGTGGTGGCGGGAGTGGGAGCTTCGGTGGCGGCAGTGGTGGCAGCGATGGGGGTGGCGGTAGTGGCGGGAGTGGGAGTGATGGCAGTCGGGGTGAAGCTGTTCAGAGGGGAGGTTCTGGTGGTGGCCCGAGGCAGCAGCAGTAGCGTCGGAGCGAGACCCCTTCGCCCCAGCACCTTCGTGAGTGGTTTGCTCAGCGTGGGGCGTCTGGGGGTAGTGTTAGCTGCCCGTATGTCATTCGCACGGGTGACCATGCTGGTCAGACATGCGGGAAGCCTCACACTCAGCACCGCTGCTTCTCCCGCCTAGACGACGCTTGGCGCGCAGAGTTTGGTGACGAGCTGAGCGCCCCCGCTGGGCAGAGTTGTTTAGGTCTGGAGTTGATATCTTTGCTCTTGACTATGATGCTATCCTTGCTTCCATGTATGCCTTGTCTGTTAGTGCTGAGGGTGACTGTTATCGGTGTGTGCCGCCCGACCCAGGTATAGAGGCTGCTGCTCTAGGTGCTAGAGAATCTGCTCTCCCTAGTACTGCGCCT